TACACGCCTCACGTCGTAGCCCCCGTGAGTGTCAGGGTTCTCTCAACCCTGTGACCCCACATCACAATGTCAGGACACTTAGCCTTGGTTATGGACACCACCTAGAGAGGACTGCTGGCTTTTCGGCTCCTGTGGAGAATCTCTCCTTCTACGGGTAAGCTACTTTACCCAAATGGCTTCCGACGGCTCACGATGATACGCCAGATGGATTCTTCCGGTCATTAGACAAAATTTCACTTGAACTTTGCCTCCAGACGCCCGGGGATCTTCTAGCTTCCCTATGATGTCAACATGAGTATGAGGCACCCACAGCATGACAAGGAGAGAAGTGTGGAACTTTACCATAAATGTGGCAAAATATTCAGTTGATCAGCCAAACAAAACGGGGAGAGTGCTATGAGTTGTTGAAGCGTTTTGAATACACATTAACACAGAGAGTTTGTGCAATATTGTTCGTGGAAATCGTGGTTTAATTATTGAAAACAAAGTGGGCATCCGCGTAGGATTTTTAAATTACCAGTGACAAACATGAGATGCATCGTATCAGTGAAAAATTCATGCATCACGATCAAAGACAAAACCATTTTGAAATCAACCATGAACTTGAGTGGGTTAATGGCTGCTAAACCTCTTTCATTGCCGCTTTGTCACTAATCCGTTGAACAGATTACATTAGTAGCTTTAGCTCACCAATTATATCTTAGCCACTCCCTCTATTGACTGGAACGCAATTTCAAGAGTTCAATATCTTTTTGGACACACTTCGTATTTTCGTTCCAACTTCACTGAGGCAGACCTCGTGTCTCTAGTCTATAGTTAGTATACATCTGCTAAGTACATCTTACTACAGTTGCCATCATCGTTTTTTACTTCATTCTCGGTCGCCTGTTTTAAAACCACTACTATGAAAAGAAAGAAGTTGAATGTAATTATGTTTCTCAAAATTTATTGTTTGCAATTACCGTTTCACCACCCACATCATTCATCTGTCCTGTTTTTTGTTTCTTTATTAAAAACACTCGCTGAGATATTCTTTTTGATGTGCCAGCAATTTTTTTTGTCAACTTTCAAGGTAGAATATGAAACTAGACGCTGCTATTAATGTTCACCGTTTCGGAACTAATAAATATTTATTATTAAATCTGATCCATATTATCAAAGTTATTTTAATGAAGAGAAACAGGCTACTTTTAATAAAAAAACTAAGGTTGTGACAGTAAATTGTTCACATATACCATTTAACTGAGAAAATACAAAATAGACTAATTCTGAACGTCAGACTGTCTTGTACCGTTTTCATAATGAATAGACAGACAGACAGAGAGACGACGAAGTAGGCATTGGGAAAGCATCCAGATTATAGAGTTGGCTCCGGTTACATAGTCACTAGTGTTGAATTTACATATAATTTTACCTACCCATGTTCGCGAATGAAAGAGGCTAGCAGGTAAGCCGCTGTAGTAGTTTTATTAGGTTGGTAAGGTAACACACGTACGTGTTATTAAACTCTAGCTATAATTTGCCAAGTTAGCAGGTTAGTGCTTGAACTACTACAAGTGCACCTTCTTGCTAATTGAGACGAAACTTTGCAGAGAGGTCGATTTCGTAATTTGTAGATTTGACGCGCACATGTTGGCAACAGTTGGTAATAAACGACACGGAATAAAAAAGGTGTGTGTCGCAGAACACAACCAAAGTAAAACTTCTTAGTTTGGGGAATTAGAAGCGTCGAATACCAGAAGAGCGTTTAGAACCACAGAATGTATTTGCCTTTAAATTCAGAGATTCATAAATTACGTCAGATTCCAGAAATAGTTAACTACTAGAGGTACTGTTGAAACTTAAAGTTCTGGAGTATCAGAGGAGGGCTTTTAAGGAAGCAGAAATCATCGAATACTATTGGAAATGTTAGATTCCCAAAATGTGTTTTAGAAAATCAGAAGCACCCAAAATATTAGCCGCGATTGGAAACCACAGCTGCCCTATATAACAGACTGCGTCTAGTGATGGGAACCAGAATTCGTTGCTCATCAGAGGTAGTGGTGTATTCCTAAATGGATTGACTACTAGAGGTAGTGTTGAAAAGCAAACGGGTGATATTTGAAAACACAAAATGTCAAAATTCGTAGATGTGTTGTAGAAACAGTTATTAATAGAGGGACTAACGGAGTTGAATATTGTGGAGTGCCAGCCAAGGTCTCCTGGGGAATCATAAGTCGTCGAGAATTTTAGACTGTGTTTCAGAAGTAGTTAACTTTTAGAAGTGCTATTGAAACATAACTTTCTGGGGTTTCAAAGGAGGGCTTTTAAGGAAGCAGAAGTCATCGGATACTATAGGAAATGTTAGATTCCCAAAATGTGTTTTAGAAAATCAGAAGTATCCAAAATCTGAGCAGCGATTGGAAACCACAACAGTCCTGTATAACAGAGTGTGTCTACTGATGGGAACTAGAATTCGTTCGTAATCAGAGGTAGTATTGTATTCCTAAAACTGTTGACTACTAGAGGTATTGTTGAAAAGCAAAGCGGTGATATTGGAAAATATAGAACGTCGAAATTCGTAGGCTGTGTTTGACAAATAGTTACTGATAGAGGGACTATTGGAGCTGAATGTTGTGGAGTGCTAGCGAAGGTCTCCTGGGGAACCAGAAATCGTCGAGAATTGTAGATCGTGTTTCAGAAGTAGTTAACTTCTAGAAGTGCTATTGGAACTTAAAATTCTGGAGTATCAGAGGAGGGCTTTTAAGGAAGCAGAAATCCTCGAATACTACACTAAATGTTCGACTCCAAAAACATGCTCTAGAAAATCAGAAGCATCCAAAACCTGAGCTGCGATTGGAAATCACAGCTGCCCTGTATAATAGAATTCATTACTAATCAGATGTTCTGTTGTACTCTCAAAAGGGTTGACTACTAGAGGTAGTATATAAATACTTACTAATAGAGGGACTATTGGAGCTGAATGTTGTGGAGTGCTAGCCAAGGTGTCCTGGGGAACCAGAAATAATCGAGTACCATAAATGCTGGATTCCAAAAAAAGTGGAGTCCTAGAGGTATTCACATTAGAAAATCAAAAGCATGCAAAACCAGAAGAGCAATTGAAAACCGCAATCTTCTTTGGGAAACTAGGATTCGTCGAGATTGAGAGATACCGTTCTATTCCAAAGAATGTTGGACAGGTACTAGAGGTGTTGTTGGAATGCAGAGCCATCGCTCGTAGAGTACCACAGAATATACGTCTGAGAGCCAGAATTTGCTTAGATTCAGGGTTACTATTGTGTTCTAAAAATCGAGTATTTGGAAGTTCTAGAATCAGAAATCTTCAATAATGGTAGATTGTCTTTCAGAAGTAGGTACTATTGGAACATGAAGTAGTTGAGTACCAGAGAAAGTCTCTTAATGAACCTGAGATCATTCAGTTCTATAAATATTTGACTCCTCAAAAGGGCGGAGGTAACAGAGGTTACGGTGGATTTCAGTAAGAGTCAACTACTACCTGTACTATTGGAACTCAAAGTCGAGGAGTACTAGAGAAGATTCCTTGGGGAACCATAAATCACTGAGTACAATACATGCTAGAGGTACCTACTTAAGAAAAATAGAAGGATCCAGAACCATAGCACTGATTGGAAACCAGAACTGTCGTGTACAACGATGTGTATGAATATGAATCCGTTCCAGTCCCAAAAATGCTACCCCCAGTTGTTTTTCTTACGTGTTTTTGAATAAGACACACTTCCAAGATCTCTTTTATCTCCCTTGTAGAGATAACCTCCTCCACCTCTGGTTCTTCCTCGAAACCAATTTCTTCCAGAACCCTTGAATGCTGCTGCAACTGTAACTCTTGTAATTCCTCGGTCGTCAGTTCCTGAGAGTGCTCCTCGACGATCTCGTTCACGTCTCTCTCATCCATCACCAGGCCCATACATCTTCCCAGAGACACTCCACTGTCACTTTCGGGTACAGACTCAGGCCACAGCTTCTTCCATGCAGAGGTCAAGCTCCTCGTTGTAACACTCAGCCAGGCCTGATCAATAATTCTGAGGCATATCACGATGTTAAAGTGGTCCTTCCAGTACTTTTGAAGGGTGAGGTTTGTGTTCTCTGTCATCTCAAAGCAGCAGGTGTTTAGTGTACAGCTTTTTAAAATTAGAAATCACCTGCTGATCCATGGACTGCAGGATAGGAGTGGTGTTAGGTGGTACATAGAGAACCTTTATGAACTTGAACTCTTCGAGGATGTCATCTTCGAGTTTCGATGGGTAAACAGGAGCATTGTCGAAGAAGAGAAGGGAAGACTGTTTTCCTGTAGACATTTCTTAACAGAAGGACCGAAAGCCTCGTATCTGAAATGTCGCTCGTATTTCAAAATAAAACTTCGCTAGCTCGACAGCTCGTATCTCAAATAACTCGTATGATAGGGCACTCGTACCTCGAGGTACCACTGTACTTGTCTACTTTTGGAAAGCAAAATTCGTCGAGAATTGGAGGTACTGTTGTATCCTCAAAATGATACCATTAGAAACTAGAAATTATCAAGTCTAGTCGGTGATATTCAATTTCAAAAATAGTCGACTATCAGAAGTACTATTGGAATCCACAGCCGTGGAGCATCAAAGGTTTTTGGTTGATTCCTTATCTTTTCGTGAAAGGACTTTTAGATCCTTCGACAGTTTCAATTTCTCCATATCATCTTCCAAAAATACTCCGTGTAGGTGTACAGTATACGCTTTTAAGAAACTGTTCTTCTCTTCTGGTTTCAGCTTTACAAGCTTCAAAGAAACGAAAACAATAATCCTGAATCCGACGATTTATATCCCTGTAGGTGCACCCACCTTTAATAATAAACAACTGCACGTGTATCATGCACACACAGTAGCCTATACAACATGCATCAAACATATATAAGGGAAAAATAAAACAGGAGTTATTCAGGATTTGTGAGTATATTTTCCGTCACTTACCCCACCAGCCGTGTGCGCTGACACCTTTCATCCGGCTGCCTGTCGCGTCGTGACTTGGAGGAATTGGTCCTGCTGCTTTCTCGTGCTCCTTCGTTTGTCTTCTTTCTGTCTTCCGTTGCGGTTGTTTGCCCAGTTAGTTGCATTCCACCGTTGGCAGCGAACGGAGCAGGATTGCTCGCGACACCGTATCAACTTCCCCAGCCAGCACGTGTTCGAAATTCGTCGGTTCATTTTTGCCGGTGCGATATCGCGCGCTTAACAACAGAAAAACAACTTTTGCTACATTACGTCAATTATTAGGGTGGACGTACGCGATAAATAGAAAACAAAAGAAAAATAATAAGAAGGAAAAAAAATGCCAGTTTTTCAGCGTTTGGTAATTGTTTTTTTCGTGGCCGTGTTCTTCAACATACCCGATCGCGTGTTGAGTGGCAGTTGTCGTGAAGCGAATCTGTGCTGTCCTGGACGAGATTCTTCGTGTGTCGTTCAAAAGGCGCCTCTCAATGCAATTATCGAAGATTTGAATGACAAGCCGTGCTACTGCGATCATGCCTGCCTAAAACTTGGCGACTGCTGCGGCGACTTCAAGGAAGCATGCGGAGGTAAACTTATTTTAGTAATTATCGTTTTATGCTGCACATAAATGATGGTTTATGGTCTTTAGAAGCAACTTAGGAGTCTTTTAGGTCCCATAAATGTTTAGAAAACCTAGATTTGAAAATTACGATACATACTGAGTATATTCCACTCTTTGTTTTATTTTTTAATAATGAGGATAAAGTGGGTAGAAAAGGTTAGAAATGAAGAGGTACTAGAAAGAGTAGGAGAACAGAGGGCTCTATGGAAGTCAATAAGAAATAGGTGAGATAGGTTGGTAGGACACCTTCTCAGACATGAAGGTCTAGTCAGAGACATATTAGAGGCAGAAACAGGAGTTAGGAGGGGTAGAGGCAGACCTAGGTTAAATTACTCTTCGCAAATAGTTAAGGATGTGGGCTGTTCTAGTTTTAGGAAAATGCGAAGTTTAGCTCAGAATAGGAAAGAGTGGAGGTACGTGTCCAACCAGTCTTAGGACTGACGACCTTATGATGACTATGATGATGATGATGATGAAAGATTTGCTAATTTATGTAATAAAAAAAATTAGTATGGTATACAATTTAAGTGTAATCAAAAGTATAATGGTTTGCAAGTTTGATCTTGAGCAATGAGCAATTATGTTTTTGTTTGAACTGGAGAAGAAATTCTGACATTTTAGAAATCAGTGTTTTCCTTTATTGGCCACTAGTATCTGCTCGATAGGTAGGTATAAACTAAAGAAGTAGGACAACAGAGTCTGCTATTAAAAAATCCTGTCTTAATCCTCAACTTTTAAATTTTGTATGTCTGTTTGGTGGAAGTTTGTGTTGACATGGTCACTTCTGTTCGAAATAAAAGGAATCTAGTTAAATATATATATATATGTTTGAAGATGAGTCCTGTATCTACCTCGTTTCTCAAAAATTGGATGCGTAGAGACAGAATAAATAGTTTGACCTTAAAGAGTGTAAATGTATTGAAACTTATTTGTACTAGATTGTACCTGTATACAATTCAATAATTTTATTTAAAAGTACAGATTTTTTTAATTTATGTTACTTTAGAAAATTTTACAAATGGCGCGGTAAAAGCCATCTGTAGTACGATGCTACATTTTAGGATTACGTATGCTCCAACAAGGTCCATTTAAATATATGGATATCTACTTGCTGAAACGAATCCTGGCGTAGTTAACCTCAACGTGATAGGCACGTTACCGTAATCGAATAAAATAATTCGAAGTGGTCTGTATTCTGTCGAAACTGCCAGACGCGGATCGCGATTTCGATCTTTTTGGA